AACCACAGCCCCATTAGGTAATAGGCTATGCATTAATGCAATTTATCTGGAATGAGGAAGGAAGAGATCCAGCTTTGAAAGAATTTCCTCAACAGCATATTCCTCTTTGCTGCGAAGCGGTTGCACTTCAGGTGACACCCAGGAAGCAGCCTGGGAATCCCTTGACCATCTATACCAAAGACTGTCTGGAAGTGTGCAGTCTCTAGGGATTTTGAGGGTGTCACCCATTAGTTAGTGTGATTTTATCATCAGTTCTCTCTAGGCTAATTTCTAATGGGAATGGTCATGCTCTAAAGTGGTGGAGGGATTTGAATTCACCTGATTGCAAGGACTGGGTCTACCACCTAGTAATTGTGTGGACTAGAAGGTGGTGGAGTGAGTGGTGACCTCTGCAGGGTGTGACCTCTCAAGTCAACTGCTTGAGTCCCAACTCTGCCTCTGCTACTTTCTGACTTTGTAACACTTGCCCTGGGCAAGATATTTTACCTCTTTGTGCCTCGATCATTTCATCTATAAAATAGGTCTCTCTATGGACCTACCTTATAAGGTTGCTGTGAGTGACACACGCAAATGTGGTCATAAAGTATATCCCATGGTGTGCGGCGTAATTTATTTTTTGAGGGGAGATAGTGAGGTGCTAGTTAAACCCTGGGATGAGGCAGATCCTGGTTTGAATCTCAGCCTCGCTGCTCCCTGGCGAGGTGGCCTTGGATCTCTGTTTGCCTTGCCAGGTCACTCTGGCTTCTTCCTCCTCTGACCATGCTTTCACTACACTGACCTTTCCATTTCTCCAGCCCTTTCCATGGGGCTGGATATAATATTTCTTCTGGTTGGAATGCTCTCTTTAACCATTATAATTCTCGTGAAGGCTGTTTCTGTTCTCTAGACTGTGTTCAGGTCTCTGTGATATCTCTCGAGGAATTCTGTACCTACCCACCTGAGCACTTAGAATTGGGCTGGAGTATTCATTTGTATAATTGCAGTTGATCTTTGAACATCTTTAGGAATAGGGTCACCAACTCTCTTTGCAGTAAAAAATCCACAGGTAACTTTTGATTTACCAGAAACATAACTAGTAATAACTGCTGTTGACCAAAAGCCTTAGTGATAGCATAAACAGGTGATTAATACCCATTTTGTATGTTCTAGGTATATTACTGTATTCTTATAAGCTAAAGAAAAGAAAATGTCATTTTAAAAATCATCAAGAAGAGAAAATATATTTGCAATTCAGTGAATGAAAGTGGATCATGATAAAGGGCTTCATCTGCCATGTCTTCACATTGAGTAGGCTGAAGAAGAAGAAGAGGAGGAGGAGGAAGAAGAGGAGGGGCTGGTCTTGCTGTCTCCTGAGTAGCAGAGGCCGAAGAGGTGGAAGGGGAGGCAGGAAAGGCCGGCACACTGGGAATAACTATTATTGATGAAAATCCTTGTGTAGGTACATCTGCATAGTTCAACCCATGTTGTTCAAGGGTCAACTATATTCCTATCTGTACTCAGAACTGTGAGTTCCAACAAGGGTTAACAAGTCCTGCGTCTGTCAACCCAATGTCTATAGTAGTGCCTGGCTCAGAGGGGACACAACAAATACCTGAATGCTGAATTAATACATACATAAACAAAATGAGTGTGAGAAGAATTTCCTTTTCTGATGGTCTTATAAACTATGAGCTACTTGAAGACAGATCACATTCCATTTATTGTTATATCCCCAAAAGCCTACAGTGAACAGGAACTTATGTATTTGTTATGTGAAGGAGTAAAATGTATAATGATTCCAATTTAATTCACTAAAATGTAACATTCTGTTTTGAAAATTAATAAAATTTCTTTAGGAAAGCTTTTGTTGGATATAACCTAATTTATATGAATATTCTTTTTTTATTTGTCAATTGAGAAGGTAGTTGCTTATGACGGAAACTCTCTCTCTTTATGTTACAGATGTCAGCTCATTGCAGAATATAAGCTAAGACTTGTAGCACAGTCATTCTGAAAGTTTTTGTTCTCAGAATTCATTTACCCTTTAGAAAGTATTGAGGATCCCAGTAAGCTTTCATTTATGTGGGTTATATTTACTATATCAAAGAATATATTTACTATATCAAAGAAATATTTTTAAAAACATTTAAAATATTTGTTTAAAACAACAATAAACTCAACACAAATTAAATAAATTAACTAATTTTAATAAAATCAATTATATTTTCCTTGTGGATCTTTTGCCCATGCATGATTTTGCCAGGTAACGCATCAATTATTTGGAAAATATTAATTCATTGAGTGAATTTTTGAACTTTCCAAGGCTGGCTATACAATATTTTTTAAAAATCTCATTTGTTAATATCATTGATCTCAATAGAAAAGTCTTTGAGGCATTGAGAAGCAGTCAGGCTTACACAGCAGATACAATTTCACCAAAATTTAAAGTTTTGCTTGAAGGTTCCAAGGTTATTTTCAGCTACAAATAATGTTTGTCATTCTTTTTTTTTTTGAAGTGACAGTCTCTCTATTTAGTCTCAAGGAAAAGTCAGTCAAATAACCAAGTCTGAATAGCAATAGTTTGCAGTCAGCTGTCTTTTAAGGAAAAAATAGTTCCAAGAAAAAATAGGCTATTTCAGTCTACAACTCATAGCAACTGTGTAAGTGTCAGAGTAGATTATAAGTGCTTCGTGCTCATGGTGATGGCAAATGTCAACATAAAGAAGGCAAATAACATCTTAATATGATTTTTTTAAAAAGTTTTGATCTTATGGTCCTGCAAAAGGATCTCAGAGAAGCCAAAGACCACACTTTGAAATTTGCTGCTCTAGGGTTTTCTAATACTAAATTCCAAGACTCATCGACCCCACATAGATGACATTTACAATAATATGGCTTTTAATTAAGCAACTTTTCCTACATCCTCTACCCTATCAGAAACAGATAAACCACGGGCAAAATGTTACAAAAGACTGTGATAACTGAGTTTAAGATTAATGTACAGGAAATATTTTACCAATACCACCCGTAATTATTAGTGTAAAGAAGTCACAAAATGTCTTTTAAAAAATTCTACCCTGAAAACATTTCAGAATTTAAGAAGTGGCAATGATTAAATAAATGGCTACAAACTCCAGTCTGAATGCATTTTCAGCAGCTATTTCCCTAAACATTTATCATGTATTATGTTATTTTAACACATCTCTGTGATATGGTTACATGGGACTTGATATCATCTCCATTTTAGAGATGAAGAAACTGAGAAGAAAATGACTTTATTCACCCACCATCACTGAGGAAACTGGAGGTGGAACTGGGTAGCCTTCCTGATAAATAGTTCAATGCCTTTTCTTTTTCTCTCTGTGGAATCACCTGGCCAGCCAGACTCAGCACACGTTTCATTTCAATAAACAGAATATTCCAGTGAGCCCAGTGACTCTGGAAATCCCTAAAGTGGAGTGTTCCAAATAGCTGAAAACCTGTGGGGAAAGTGTGACCTCTGTGTGCCTTTTCAGCTTCTACTTCTGCTAAGCGGTGGAAATTCATAGAAAGGAAGAAATTCTTTCAGCCTGGGTTATATCACTTGGTAAATTTAGAATTCCAGATTATAGAAACACCCTCAGATGACCAAGCCCTCCACCCCTGATGTTCTGAATGCTCTCATTCTGAAAGCACAAATGCATTTTTCCTTCCCCTTTGGAACCAGAGGGTAAACTTGGCCAAGGAGCCTGCCGGCCATTGGCCTGGTGTAAGTGAGTGGGGTGATTACTTGGAGATTTAGGCAGAAAGTGTTGAAGAGGAAGAGGATGTGGGTGGGCAGGGACAATCGGCTGAAGATAAGGGAAATATGATCTTCTTGTCTTGTTAAAGCAGAAAACAGTTCATATTTACTAGCTGTTTATAGGTAACAGAATCATCTCCATGTGTCACCAGCAAGTAATTGCCAACAATGCTGTTTTTAGGTGACCCATATTTTACCCCACAAAGGAAGAAGAAGATTCTTAAAGAAATTGCATACACTTCTGTTGTGTGTAGAGAAGAACAGCTGCTTTCCTCCCTCTTCCTAGCCATATGGCTCTTGAAAATGCTCTTAGCCTCTTCCTCTCATAATTTCCATCATGCCCTCCCTCTGCCCTTTAGATTGTAGCACAGGATTTAAATGGAAGGTGCAGGGGAAGTGTTTCTGAGTGGTCTGCCCAACCCAAGCCACCTGTGGACAAGGGGCAGCATCTGAGAGGCTTCCTTCCACAGCCACGTCTTAGGGTCCAAGAGACCACAAGAGCACCTGCGGCTCAGATGCATGCAATCACTTCTTAACACTTGAAAAAACTTGCCTGGGTGGAAAACCATTTTCCCAGACAGCAATCTGCTTAGGAGTTGCAATGACGTTGTCCTTCTGTGCCAAGAATATCAATCAGTTCAAAAGTCCCTCTCCTGAGAGCCACTGGCAAGGTCCTGGGCATGCACACACAGGCAGCATCTGTAACCCTGCTGCTTGGGGTTAGTGTGAATGTCAAGGCTGTATATTAGAATTAATTGTTCTGCCACTATCTGGTTTTCCTATCTCTTTTCCTCCTTTTATATAATCTTTTGGCTTTTTTTCCCCTCCCTTGAACTTGTTGTTTCCAGTTTTACTGTTCTTAGTTTAGCCTTGTGTCCCTTTGGGATGAAAGGAGGAAAAAACCCTGGATCAGAGAACCTAGGTCCCCGTAACACTGTCACCCGTTAGCCAATGTCACACCACTAACCTATCTCCACCTGTTTTCCATCTCAAACTAGAGAAAACAGTACATATGCTGATTGCTTTTTGAGATCCTTGTAAGAATCAATTGTTATTACGTAGCAGTATTGAACATATTTATTTGCTTTCATTGCAGTACCCAGAACACCAACTGGTGCATAGTGGGTGCTCAATCAACATTGGTTGAATGGATGACTATATTTGGAAATACTTTGTGAGATCACTATGCATGTTTTTATTACATGTTTCATGGATGATCTGGTAGCCTGCAGTGCTCTAGGCCTTGGCTCGTGTCATGTGTAAGCAGGCTGGCTCCCACCATGCCACAGCTTGCTGGGGATCTTTTTCCAGGCCACAACATCTACTTGGTTTCTGTGATTCCAATTCCTGTGTGGATCTGACTCACTACCTAGAAGGTTGCGCTAAGTGAACTTTGCTGTGTAAATGCTGTTGCTGGAGGGTGAATGTGGGTACCTAGAAATGCTGGTCTTATAAATGAGTAACATGTTTCTGTATAACATGGAATGACATGGATGCTGGCACTGAAAATCCTGTTAGTCTTGGAAATTTCAAGGGAGTTCCAGACCAGATCAAACAAGAGATGGTGGATAAGACCACTATTTGGCAAAGGACATTTAGAAGTATTCTAATGGATGATTTCTTTTTTTCCTTTTTTTTTTTTTGAGATGAAATCTCTCTCCAGGCTGTAGTGCAGTGGCTCGATCTCAGCTCACTGCAAACTCTGTCTCCCAGGTCAAGCGATTCTTGTACCTCAGTCTCCTAAGTAACTGGGATTACAGACATGTGCCGCCACGCCCAGCTAATTTTTATATTATTAGTAGAGACAGGATTTCACCATGTTGGCCAGGCTGGTCTCAATCTCCTGACCTCAGATGATCCGCCCACCTGGGCCTCCGGAAGTGCTACGGTTACAGGCATGAGCCACCACACCTGGCCACAATTACAGTTTTAATAACTGTTACAGCCTGTGAGGGGATCTCCTCCTAAATTCAACTTTTCTTATCCTAAGGTACTTAGGAACCCCTGTAACCCACTGTAACCACTCCTCTAAAAAGCTGGCACAGGGAACAAGACTGCTTGGCCAGTGCAGTAGCTCACGCCTGTAATCCCAGCACTTTAAGAGGCCAAGGCAGGAGGATTGTTTAAGCTCAGGAGTTTGAGACCAGCCTGGGCAACAAAGTGAGACTCCTATCTCTACAAAATATTTTTAAAAAAATTATCCATAGTGGTCCACACGTATAGTCCCAGCTACTTGGAAGGCTGAGGCGTTGGAAGAGTGCTTGAGTCCAGGAGGTCAAGACTGCAGTGAACGATGGTTGCATCACTGCACTCCAGGGTGGGCAACAGAGTGAGATCCTGTCAAACAAAACCAAACTAAGAACAAAGATTCCCCACCCCCTGAAATCCAAAAAAGACTGCCTGGCACCTGAACTCAAAATGTTTAGAACATTTTTCCTGACCCCCGACCTCTACCCTCCACAATGAGCCATCAACCTAATAACAAGAAAGAGCAAGAGGCCTGGGGTCCCTCTGCTGTAGCACAGTCCCAAGGCACATATCTATCTGTGACCCGGTTAAGCATGTATCTCCCTAGGAGACCAAGCACGGAAGCAAAACTGCAGACTTTCTCCCTATGAGCTCCTGCATGCACCGAGCGATGCTGGCTCAGGTTTCCTTGGGGCTGTGCCATGACAATATCCATTTTGAACCAACCAAGGTTTATAAAAAGCATTAATAACAATATAATAGAAGAACAGAATTAAATTATATAGTACTAGTAATCTCTGTAGAATTGTTTGCATCCTGGTACTCATATTGTCAAATAAAATAATCATTAAGAACCATATTTAATTTTCAGTTAATTAACTTTACTTAAGCTGTGACTATTTCAGGAGTAATGGTCCTGCTTGGAAATTCTTCACGTTTTGTACATTATCACCTCAAATGTCCATGAGGAGGTAAAACTACAATCATGTATAGCAGGCTCAATGACTTGTGTCAATATAATGAAGGGTATAAAACAGTAAGAGAAAAATGAGGAACCAAAAACACAATTTATATTGTTAATCTAACTTCAAAATAACAGACTTAACAAGCATGCTCTGAGAAAATAACCCTATATATCTCTGAGTCTATTTAAAAGCCTGCTGAAATGATTTCTGCAAACTGGCAATTGAAGCGGTTGAAGATGAAGGATTATTCCGATTTGCATAGTCTATAATGCCTAGGTGCAAATCTCTTCTTTGTATGTATATTACTAAAAAAAATTCCTAAACTCCATTTTGCTGGGCACAGAAGATTATTGACAAATTAAATGTGCCATTTCTGCATCTTGTGTAGCTTGTTGGGACAAGCAGGACCAGCCAGAAGTCCTTTTAAATTTAACAGGATTCATGGTGAGTTTATGCTGAATTAGCTAAATTTCTCTTTTACATGTTCCAGTGAGGGATTGTGGGGACACAAGCTAACAAAATAATGATTCTGACTGAGGAAATATCTATAGAATGGAATGTCAGTGAAGACAAGGACAATCAACAATAGCACATAGGATGAAGGATGCAAGTGACTTAGGAATTGTAAATAGACACTATTTTAATCATAGTTTCCAGTTGTGTTTGGAAAAAAATTATGACACAGCGTATTTTAAGAGCTTATAGTAGTGCCTGACACAACTATGCTTTATATAGTTATTTATTAAATAAATAAAACATATAAGATACCAAGATAAATCTAAAACCTTTAAAGTAAAATGATAATCCCTATAGAAATAAACACCGGTATACTGAGAATTTCTGTATGAAAAAGGTAAAACTTGATTTATTTAGTACATTTCTTCCATTTCAGAAGCAAAATACAAAGCAAACAAACATCTGAGGAAAATATTTCTTAGCAAATATGGTGGACAAATATACAAAAAGCTCTTACAAATCAATAAGAAAACTAATAAGACTTCTTGTTAAGTAAAGTACATAAACAGACATGACAAAATATGACATTCTGATAGATTTATGAAAATAATACTTTTATTCAAGGTCATACAGTTTTTAAAAATTGGTAAAGACTGCAAGTAATCTTCATATTTAAGAATATTGTTAAAATTTTAAAATCAAAAGTAAGGAGCTCATGGGTAAAAGGATCTTATATGAAAATCAAGCTTCTTGCCTTCTCCCTACTCTGAGTTCAATTCTCTGAAAGCAAGCACTTAACTTTGTTGCTTCTCATATTTATCTTCATATCTCTGAGTGACAAGCTTGAATTGCTTTTCCTATTTTATCAGTTTTATACCTTAGATATTGATTTCAGCAGTAACATGAAATTTCAGCTCTCAGCATACACCCTCCTCTTCTTCCCATTTTACTCATGTAATTATATCACTTTTTGAATCACTACATTTTTGTCATATGACCATGTAAATATCGTTCCCTGTGAAACTCACTAATGTTTAATGATTATATGTCTTTTACTGTTTTTTGCCCCCCATCCTTCTGGAGTTTCATATCGCCTTTATTTTTTTATAGCACCAATTGCCTTTATGATATTGTTTTTTTCAAACTCTTGATTATATCAGGTACGTAAGCAAATTATCTCCTGGACTTAGACCACTGATCCATAAAACTAGATCTTTTGGCTCCAATCTTGGCTACTCGCTCTGCAAAAATTTGTTGAAATGTTATATGAAAAGAGGGTGTGGTGAGACACTCAAACAGTACTGGTAGAGTATAAACTGTTACAACCACTCCAGAAAGCAAGTTGTCACTATGTGACAAAAGCTATAAACATTCCAATATTTTGACCCTATTTTTCACTTCTACAAATTGCTTCTAAGAAAATAATCAGAAATGCTATTCAGATTTATATGCAAAGATGATCGCTGTAATGATGTTTATGTGAAAAGGTGGAAGTAACTTGAGTGTCCAGTTATTTGTGAGTTGTTAAAAGGTTGTGGAGTACTCTGGATTCACTGAAATTCATTGGTAGAACACTTTTTGAAATCTGCTTCAGGGAAACACCTCAAGGAGAAAAGTAGCTATCTTCAAGCAACTAAAACTGAAGTACAATATGAGAACCATGTGATTCAAGCATCTGAGCCATGTTACACATATTGAGAAGTCCTCGGCAGAGCCGACAGAGTCTGCTTTTAAAGGAATCTGCAAATTGAAGGATACAAACAGGTATGCTCTGAAATCTCAAGTGTGGATTAATTGCTGTAGTGTGGCTGCTCACGCGGGCAACCCTATGTAGCATGCATGTCCCAGTTGGGAAACAGGGGCTTGATTTTTAAATTTAATGATGGTTGTGATGTTCCCAAGCAATGAGAAAGAGGACAGCTATGGATGAATGGGTGTAGGGGTTAGGCAAGGATGTGAAACTGACAAGGAGGGGAAGAGTATTCTTACACAAAGTCTGAATGTTCACACAGGGGATACAGAACACTTCCCCTAAGGCTAAGGTGCTGAGGAAAGGCTGTGTGGGAGGTAAGTAGATGCACCTTGAGAATTACAAGGGGAACTATGTCATCTGGGGAAATCCAGGTTGCACCTGGGATGAGGTGGAGGAGGATGTATTTTAAAAGATTCCAAATTTCTGAGCTCCCTGGCAGCAGAACAGGGTTTCCAGAAGACATATGGTTAGAGTTAAAGAAAGGTCAAAAGGGGAAGGATGGGCCACAGAAAGGTCAGGCCGCTCTCAATGGAATGGAGAATTATAGACATGGGGAGGGGGTCACCAGAATTAGTCTGTTAGGTAACAAGGGAGGAGATATTCTAGGAGTCGAGGGCTACAGAGGAAGGGCACATCAACAGAACCAATGGGACAGAATTGGCAGACCCAGCATTTCAAATGAAACTTTGGAATGAACTTGGGAAGATGCCTCCACAAACTATTGTTTCAATATCTCAGATACTCCTAATTGCCATAGGCCTGTTGGGATTTTTGAGGGCGACTTCATGCACAAATATTTTGGGGAAAACCTGATGGCTAAGTAATTTGAATGAATGCTTTGAAGGGAATGAAGTGGTAGGGAAGATGGATTTAAAATTATTTGTTCATTAAAGTAAAAACATAGATGAAAGAAACTTTGGGGTACACCAACAAAGGACAGAAAATGCAGTATTAGCTCACGATCCCTGGACCAGATTGTGTGCCTTGAGGGAACAAGAGGCTTGTGTGGGAGCCTTCTGGGACTGTGTGAAATCCTGGCTGAGTTCTGACTCAGGGTGGGCCAGATGTGGGTCTGACTTCCCAGAGAATGGATCTTCCCTTGCTGAAGCACAAATCTGCTGGGAATGGCTCTGACTTTGGACTCAAGGAGGAGTGAGAGTAGAGAAACTAAAACAGGAAATAAAAATGTTGTATGGCTTATAAGTAGACACATAAAAATTTTCAAGGCCAGGCACGGCAGCTCATGCCTGCGATCCCAGCACTTTGGGAGGCCGAGGCGGGTGGATCACTAGAGGTCAGGAGGTTGAGAGCAGCATGACTAATGTGGTGAAAACCCGTCTCTACTAAAAATACCAAAATTAGACAGTTGGGGTTGTGGGCACCTGTAATCCCAGCTACTTGGGAGGCTGAGGCAGGAGAATGGCTTAAACCTGGGAGGGGGAGGTTGCAGTGAGCTGAGATCACGCCATTGCACTCCAGCCTGTGTGATAAGAGCAAAACTCCATCTCAAAAAAAAAATTTTTCAATTAACCACTTGGCAGTGTTTTGCTTTCCCAGTTCTCCAAATGTTTATGTTTAACCTAGAGCATAATTCAAAGTGGGTGGGGTTGTGGGAGCTGAGTGTTTACATGTGCTGTCTTATTTCTGGGTAATTATAAGGAGTCAATGTGCACATTTTCTTTAGAGCAGAACATACACCTGTGAAGACAGCCCTATCATCTTATAATTATTTGCATTTTAAATATTTTATTGGCCCAAATTTTGAGAAATGGATCACACAGATCAAAGAGAATGTACTTCATATTCTGACAGCCAAAGAAGATTCAGGGAATCTCAAATACTTTTAAGCCAGCTTGTGATCTCCAGATTTCTAGGTAGCTACACTTGAGTTTCCAAATTTCACCTAGTAAATGTACAATTTTGGGTAATTCTAGGGAACACTGCCCAGTCTTCCAAACCAGTGGAAGCAACTTCTTTGAGGAATTAGCATAAAAAGAATCTGTTACAAAAGATGGGGTGTACAAATGCAAATTTTTGATAGAGAACAAAAATTCACCTAAGATCTGGTTGTTAGCTCTGCTTTTACACAGGGTACTAGGCATTCACCAACCAGCCTCATTCTTCATTCCCTTGACACAGTCCAGTCCCACTGCTCTGGGTTTGTAGAGAGACTTCTATCTTCCTAATACTCATTTCTTAACTTCCATCATCAGAGTTCTCACGGAAAAACCTTTCACCACCATAAATCAACTTGGATGTTATTGATACTTGGCCTGGAGTTACACAAACACAATGAGATTGTGGAAGAGAGGGTTAAATGGATTATTTTGGACATCTTTCATGAAAATTGAGGCTTCACATTTCTCTCCTATGTTTTCTTTTTCTGAGTGGCTCCTTAATTTCAGTATAATTTTCTTCATCCTTTCCAGTTCTTTGTTTAAAAAAAGGAATGTGATTCCTAGAAACTGTTTTTGTGTACTAACTTTTGCATTTTAAGTGATACTTGGTTGTCTTGATTTCTAAAGATCATAAAGGTCTAGCTTTTCTAAAACTTAAGTTTAAGTTCATGAATTATTGTTTTGAACGTCATTGAAATGTTTACAATTATTTCCATTGAGAAAATAATTTCATTCTACCAATACAACTATTTTTACCTGAAACACTCAAGAGGTTTTGCTGAGTGAAGAATGAAGAGTTACTCCTAATGTAAAATTAACAGGCAGGTAAGCTTTCATAAATAGTATGAATATTCTCATTTTTCCTATGGGCAGGTCTTTGCTCACTAAGATTCCAATGGCTCTAGTAAGAGGAGAAACCCAGGCACCTGAAGTAGTATAGATGGGAGCAAAGGCTTGTGATTAGGAGCTTGAAGTCTAAGAGAGATCAAGTCTGGCTTGAATTTTTAGCTCCAATAACAGTATAGACATGACAAAAGATTCTTAACCTCTCTGATCTTCAGTGTTTGTAGGCGACTAAAGTAGGTATGGAAAAGTGGGTTTCAGATAATGGTTCTGAAGGACGGAATCATCATTTTCCCCAAAATAAAAGAAGCAGATCTATAAGAGGATATGAAAGTTTCTTGTTTAAATCCAGTAAGTGGGTTGGAAGGGAAAAAATTGAAGAGAGAGTGCTCTAGAGCAGGATGTCCAATCTTTTGGCTTCCCTGAACCACATTGAAAGAAGAAGAATTGTCTTGGGCCACACATAAAACACATGAACACTAACAATACCTGACGAGCTAAAAAAAAAAAAATCTCAATGTTTTAAGAAAGTCTATGAATTTGTGTTGGGTCACATTCAAAGCCATCCTGGACCACAGGCTGCCCACAAGCCATGGGTTGGACAAGCTTGCTGTAGACAAAAGGTATGGTCTGGAAATATCCCCAGAGCCAGAAGATGGGAGAACTAGAGAAGATGAGCTGGGGAGTAGGAGGAGATGAAGAAAGTCAAAGATGACTAAGACAGTCCCCACAAGTTCGTAATATTAATACTAGGATCTTTTTTACTAAAATTTGATACCACAGGTCACTTGATTTCTTAAATGGGGATTTCTTTTATGAGCCACATCCTCAACTTTGCCGTTCCGTCTACTTATTTGAAGAGACAAGTCCGACACATTAAGGGCTATCCCATTTACCCTGATGTTAAGTGCAAAAGGATTGCAGAGTCAGAGATGAACGTGGGATGGAGTATGGCTGCAGGCTCCAAGGATGAAGTCAGGTTTTGAAGAAGTTTCCTGAATGCCAGCAGCAAGTGGAGGTCTGTGTTTAGCTGTGACCAGGTTGTAGACAGCTTTCTGCTAGACCTGTCCAATGCCAAGTGGCATGTGCTTGATACGTAATAATTTCTGAATTTGATGAGGGAATGAAAACAAGAATCTACCTGCTATGGGCTGCACTGTGTCCCTTTCCTCCTCAAATTCACATGTTGAAGTGCTAACCCCCCCGCACCTCAGAATGCCACTATAGTTGAGATATAGGTTATTTAAAGAGGTAACTAAGGTAAAATGGGGTTACTAGGGTGTGGTTTAACCCAGTGTCCTCATAAGAAGAGGAGTTTATGACATGACAGAAAGACACCACACATGTGCATGAGCAGAGGGTTGCCCATGTGAAGACAGAGGGGGATGGTAGCCATCCACATGCTAACAAAGGAGCCTTCAGTAAAATAACTGTGCTGGCATCTTGATCTTGGAATTCTATGCTCTAGAATTGTGGGAAAGTATATGTCTGTTGTTGAAGACACCCAGTCTGTAATTATTTGTTACGGCAGCCCTAATACACTCATACACTACCCATTTTATTTTACCTTCCCTTCAAATAACAATGATATCTTAGTTATATGTGCTGTCTGGTCCTATGGTAGTAACCAATTTTTAACAGTCCTAAATGACTTATTTAGGGAGAGAGGAGAAAATGAAGTTGGAGAAATGCAGAATATAAATGAATGGGGAACAGAAACAGAAGTCTACATGAAAAGGTCTATGGTTGTGATGGTGCAAGGCTACCATGGTTAAGTTGAAGGAACCCTTCCCTTCTTTCCCAGTGACTCAGAGACTGGTCACTGCTTGACAAGGTTTCTCCCTGGAGAATTCACTAGTATTAGAAGAGGACACAGAAACCAGGGCCACCCTTGTAAGTCATTGTTTCAGATACAGGACAGTGTGGGGGAAGATGTGATGACGCATAGAAGCTTGAATCTGAGCCTTGGTTAGGAAACTAAGGAGGCCGTAGGAATTGCCAGGGTGAGGAAAAATTAATTATGTGATTTTGTCTCACACTTTGATACATACAAAATAAGTCTAGAATTAACATCAAGGAAGAAAAAGGAGCTAATAATTATTGAGTCATAGTCTTTAAGGAATAGGTGTCAAAGATAGTCTTGAAAGAGAAAAGAAGTGGAGAAGATACTCCAAAACTTGAAATGGAATGTCAGGTGTGGACAAAAAGAGTCTGGGGTAACAGGGAAAGGGTTTAGAGAAGAGCAGGAAGGAAGAACACAGTGGGGGTGC